AATGTTGTAGTTTGAAACAATAGACAAAAAGATTTTAGCGCACTAGTTTCAAATGCGTCACGTTTTCTTTCTTGTTGGTGTAAGCAGAGGCCTCGACCCCCCCACCCCCACCCGAGCTCTTCTCTTCTCTCAGCACAGAGGAGAAGAAGGAGGACGTGGAAGAGGAGCTGGAGAGGGGCTGAAGAGCGTATACATTTCTATAGACTCTTCTTCTTCGCTGCGTGCGTGTGTTTGAGCGGTTTGAAGTTTAGCAGATGGTAATGTTATGTAGATTTTCTCCAACCTCGCCTCCCTCGATGACCCAGGGACAATATACCCCCTTCAGCCAACAGCACCTGTAACACACACACACACACACACACACACACACACACACACACACACACACACACACACACAGTGAATAATCTCTCACTCCCTTCGTTTGAAGGAAGGCAGGAGGCACAAGCAGTTTCAATTTACTTCAGGTGTTTCAAATTCTTGCGATAAATTAATAACAATATTGGACTGCTTTGGGCAAAGTGAATGTTTGTGTCCACCCCTACAAGTGGAGCTGGAAGACTCGACCACCTCAGGCCTGTGTTGTTTTGACCAAATTCATTTTCTCATTAACAATAAACCCCAAATAATTTTTACGCTAGAATTTGCATCATTGTTGGAATACTAATACCCAGTCCAAATAATTGAAGCTTCACATGGCTCTTCAAGTGTTTCAGTCCATTCCGGGCTATTAAATTAAATTAAAAAAATGGTTTGTCTTGTTTCTCTTATGACTTTCCATAAAATTAATGTTCAGCTGATTCATATTTTCAGATATTATATTTACTTGACTGTATCTACTGTAAAATCTGGACATTGTCATCCATACCACGTTTTGTTTTTGGTATTCTTAGTTTCATGTCTTAATCTAACCGTAAATTAAATATGTATTTATTATTAAACGCCGTTATTTTAAAGTCGTTTCCTGCTAGTGCCATATATTCACTGAATTAATAAAAATGTGTATTTTTCTTAACAAGCTCAGGTGTTTTTTTCACCCTTTTTTCTTTTCTTGATTTCCAAATGAAAGAACATTTACACTTATCTCATGATCGGAATCAGACAACGCTTCTGTTAATTGCTTCGCTCAATTCTGTGATAACAAGTGGAGGAACCAAAGGGTCCTATCACAACAATGTGATCCATTCCCCTAGATTAATCACACTTTCGTGTGGCCTTATTGTATTGTTCAATGAATGAAACGCTCACATTTTAAATATCAAAAATTGAGTGTATTTTTCTCGTGACAATTGTTGGAGAATCGCAATCTCAACCGGAATCAGTGCAACACAAAGGTGTAAAGGCACACTTTGAAAAACGAATTCACACATTCATTGTGATTTCTCCACACAGAAATCAATGTTTCTCCCAAACAACTTTTATAATACGAATAACAAGCCCAGAATCGCGGTGCCTCGACGCGGGCTAAACAAACGCACCGAGCCTCGTGCGTTATGAACGTAAATTTACACTTGTGTGCTCTTGTGGGACGAGCCTTACCGTGTCCGAGGTATTTCCTCCTCCTCGCCCCTGCTGGACACACACACACACACACACACACACACACACACACACACACACACACACACACACACACACGGGCACGCGGACAGAAGGGTGACATCAGTAAGTGGGACCAGTCTGTAGAAGATGAAGCTCAAACGGACGTTGTTGTTGTTGTTGTTGATGATGATGATGATGATGATGATGATGATGAAAACAAAACGGATCGCCGCTGACATGACGTGACATTCGTTTCTAGCTTTGCTTTTGCGGGACCGTCGTGTCTCATTCACGGTGTCACCGTCCTTTTTATTAGCGACGTCACGGGTTAATGGGGATATCGATTTTTCTGTCTGGGAGCGTGTGAAATGTGTGTTGCGGGGAGGAGAAGTTTAAACTCAGAGGAAACCAAACATCTCCACTCAAATCGAACCAAATGTGAATTTCAAACTAGGAATTGACATTAGAGAATTAAATTAGAACAATAACGGCCTGTTTGATTTTTGTTGTTGTTGTTGCTCATCGCAGGACTGAAATGAGTGCAAACTTCACACATGCATAATCGGGGCTATGAAATCCCCCCCCCCCCAACAAAAAAAAAATCCTAATCATAAAACGTCCTGGAACGCAGAAGCGGAGATGTGGGTTTCACGGGGAAAGTTTCCAAGGGTCGTGACACTAAGTGACAGGTCCCGCCCCGAGGCCCAACGCTGTCTCAATAGCCGACTGAAGCTGATTTATCTGCAGGCTGCAGTCTGCGCCATTAATCTGGAGAGAACGCGCTGTATAATTAAATAGAGAAAAAACACAAAGAGTTTTCAAAAATATACGTACATCACCAAACATTTAGACTTCCAACCGAAAACATTACACTAACATTAATTTCTTAATTATTTTTTTACGGTTTGACAATCTTCTTCAATGAAATAGAACAAAGGCCAACACAATAAAACTCACATCAGTTTGAATTGTTATAGCGAGATAGAAAATAAATATTACAAATGCCGATGAAAATAACAAGCAGTGGGAAAGAGAGACAAACCAAACCTCCATTGGAGAATTAGCATTTTATTGTGCTCGGTTTGTGAAAACATGGTGATCTGGCAACACGAGCTAATCTTGATTTAATACTCCATAAATGTAATGACTGGAAGTCGCTATTAATCTAGCAACATAGTTACGTTCCTCACTTAATCTTTAGTATATCAATTTAAGCGTTACATTATTGACCAATAGAAAGCTACGTTAAATGTTTTAGGGGGAGATGCATCAACAGGCTACACATCTTTAGCTGAGAATATTAGTTTTTCTATTGTTTGCTTCCTAAATACAACCATTCCACGGGTCGGTTTATAGTTAACAAATCGTTCCCCCACAATTTACTCACATTTACAACAATCTGAATCCTATAATAATCCGCAATAGATTCCGCAAATGACTCAAATCCAACAGAAATAAACACAAACCAGCAGCACAAACATGACAAACAAACCACAAACTGCCATTTGATTTAAAGACGAAAATTCAAGAGATTGTGACTCATTAGTCGGTGTTATTCAGCAGTAATGTGGAGGGAGCCGCAGTGCTGCGCGGTGTAAGTGTAGCGGGGCTGGCTCGGGTTATCTGTGAATGGGCTCTTTATTGGAGGCGCGGAGCGGGGATTTGCCTTTTATTCGCCTCGCTATGGAAACGCGCTTGACGGGAGAAAAATGTTGATGTGAATAAAAGGAATCGGCACAAGGAGCCTTTGCAGAGAAGCATCTGTTACACTTAGAAACTTAGACTATCGAGAGCAATAGCCCCTATCCAAGTCCCTCTCCTGTCTGCTTTATGCTACCAAAAAGAAAAGCACACATTATTTTGTAACAGCAAACAAAACATATTTGAGATGCTTTTTTTAAGTGATTCTACTCGTGGAACCAGTTAAGCCAATTTTAAAACCTAAAACCAAAAGGCTAACTACAATTCAAAATATTTTTCTCTAATCGGAGAATTCCTCCTGCAAAATCAATTCTTTTAGTTTGTCATTTAATGTGACTCCTAAGAAAACACAGGAATTGTTTTTGTTTTTTAAACACAACTACATTGTGCCATAAATGTGCAATACTGCACAATTCCATCCCTCGACAACTGGAAACGAAGCAATCCGGTTCAGTCAACTAGGCCACCCGATTAGCCAATCCCATCAAATATTCAGTCACTTTTCATGAAGTTTCCAAGTCAGCATGAAGAATTTACACGCAGCACCAAGAGTGGGAACACAACAACAGACACATACGTGTGTTGAAGTATTTTCCAACTATCCATAGAGGCCCGTGGGCTACAAACAAGGCGGGTCTAAACACGGTCCCTGTCTGTCCCCCTGTGAGCTTCCCTCACTGCCGCTGCCTGTCACTCCTCCGGGTACCGAGGCCCCGTCCGCACGTCCAGCCCGCGATCAGCTCACCTGCTCCGGCCCTCCTCTCAGTGTCTGCCGCGGTCTCTCTCGGCAAGCAGCTCCTCAGCCCCGGCCCTCTTTAATGACTTTCCGGTGCCTGCTGCCTTCTTTTATTTCTCCTAAATGTATGAAAATGTATGCAAATTTAAATCAAGCTTAACCTGGGAGCTCGAGCAATATGTTTAATGGAATTTTCAAACCAATAAGGGGACTGGGACGCAGTCTTCTAATGGCAAATATGATTACGGGGCCAAGTTATTTCTCAGATATGCAGATAGATCTTTCTCCAACTCTGAGAGGACATGATTAGATTCTTAAAGACTGGGAGTATGTGTGCACAGCTCGAGGACACATTCGTGTCTTTGGAAAAAGGAGAGGAAAAAAATATGTAAACACGTTCGACGAGTATACATGCTGGCGGATTTTAGTCTGTTATTTTATAAAATATTTTTAAAAATACTAAATTTGCATTTATAGGTCCTGGGTGAGTTATTCCAGGGTTTCTATTTCTATCTGAAATGGGCATGATAATGAATGTCCTGTGCTTAAAACGGTAGCTTAAGAAGCTCATTCTAAAAACACCTGAGGAAGTATTCTTTAAAAGTTAATCTTTAGCAGTGAAAATTGCTCTTGGTTTGATTGTATCCTCCTAAATTACGTGCTGGCACGTTTTACACATGCCATTGCGCATTAATCTCCTCCTTCGCACGCGCTCAAGGGTGACAGGAGCAGCAATAAACTCGTGCGTAAATCAGTTGGAAACTTTAATTAATAAACAGGAACTGCGCTCTACGCGCGCATCATTCCACAGCCAGACCCACTGGACCAGGACCCACACTCACTTCCGGTTCGGCTGGCTGTAACCCTTTCCTATCTGTAGCGCCACTTCCAGAGGCGGATGTTCGGGCATCTGCGCCGTCATTGGCCGAGGCGCGCATCAGTCGCCCTGTGAGTGGTGGTGCAGGCTGTCAGTCAAAGCCAAGCTGCTGCGGAGCTCCAGAGAGAGAGGGAGATGTCAGAGGCTGCGCTGCTCCCTTCCTTCAGTAGCACCAGTGGGGTTCAGCAGCCAGCATGGCCACAGCTGCCTCCAGCCCCTACACCCTGCTCAGCTCCAGCCCCATGATCCACCCGGACAGCATGCAGCCTGCTAGCCCCTACAGAGGACACCAGAAACTCCTCCAGGGTGACTACTTGCACAGCGTCCAGGGCAACGGACACTCCCTCGGGCACCAGTGGGCAAGTAGCCTTTCGGAGGGCAGCCCTTGGTCGGCCTCCATGGAGCAGCAGGACGTGAAACCGGGTCGAGAGGACCTGCAGCTCGGCATCATCCATCACCGCTCGCCGCACGTAGCGCATCACTCCCCTCATCACAACAACCACGGAAACCACCCGGGAGCGTGGGGGACACCGGTGTCCCACAACTCGTCTATCACCAGCGGGCAGCAGATCAACATCTACTCGCAGACGGGCTTCACCGTCAACGGCTTGCTGGACCACGGTGGCCTCACGCCTCCAACCAACCCGCAGGGGCAAGGTATGCACCCGGGCCTCAGGGACACGCTAAGCCCCGAGCACAGCGACCTCGGCGGACACCACTGCCACGACCACTCCGACGAGGAGACGCCGACTTCGGACGAGCTGGAGCACTTTGCCAAGCAGTTCAAGCAGCGGAGGATCAAGCTGGGCTTTACGCAGGCGGACGTGGGTTTGGCCCTGGGCACGCTCTACGGTAACGTCTTTTCCCAAACTACTATCTGCAGGTTCGAGGCTCTGCAGCTGAGCTTTAAAAACATGTGCAAACTAAAGCCGCTGCTGAACAAGTGGCTGGAGGAGGCGGACTCGACCACGGGCAGCGCCAGCAGCATCGACAAGATAGCTGCGCAGGGGAGGAAGAGGAAGAAGAGGACGTCCATCGAGGTGAGCGTGAAGGGGGTCCTGGAGACGCACTTCCTCAAGTGTCCCAAGCCGGCCGCGCCGGAGATCACCTCGCTGGCGGACTCGCTGCAGCTGGAGAAGGAGGTGGTGCGCGTGTGGTTCTGCAACCGGCGGCAGAAGGAGAAGCGCATGACGCCGCCGGGGGAGCCGCCGCACGAGGGACCCTATTCCCACGGCGGCAGCGGGGGGGACGCCTCCTCGTGCCATGATCTCTGACCGAAAGCACCGGGAGGACCCCCCCCCACACACCCCCACACACCCCGACACCGGCACGGACTTCTTGGGCGCAGGTGCACCTCCGAGCCGTCCCGGCACAGACTCCTCCAGCACTGAACTACAACAACAATAACAGAGATACCGGCTCAGCCTTCGTCCTTTTTCTGACTGTCTCTCGGGGCGTTATGCTACACGGCCCATCAGACGTCACATTCTCAGATCGATTTCGGAGCCCGCCAAATTGTTTTCCACACCACGGATATACATACAAAAATGTGCCTAATAACCTGCCAGCGCCTTTGGTTTGTGTCACCCTTCCTCATCTGCTCGGTAATAATGACTGGTTGGGACTTACTTTTCTCTGGTGGCTCAGCGGACTGAAACAAACAATAATATCCCCTTTCCCTTAATTGATTTGTTGCAGCACCGGAGGCCGTTTTAAAGTCCGCCTCGTGCGCCCCTCGGACTCACGCGCGCGCGCTTTAGCTCTCTCGCCGTATTTACACTCACTGTTCTGTAACACACTCGTAGCAGATCTGTAATTATTTCTTTCCTCCGCTTAAGCAAATTAGGCCCCTCACTCCAGTCCTCGAGGTATTCCAACATAATAGCACTTGGAGGTTGTTGTTTTTTTCCATTTTTTATTTTTATTGAATTCCTCCCTGATGGCCTATAGCCACACACAGCTATTTATAAAATTCATTTGTATCCGATTTCAATCATCTTCGACCATATAAACTGTGTGGACTCTAAAGCAGAGCCGAGAATAGAAAGAGGGGTTGACAACGCTATACACCTGCCTATAATTTTATTGTACGTTCAGTATCAAAATTTTATAATCTTAAATACTCCTGTTATTGGTTTATTTCCTAAGTATTTTTTCGATATATTGTACAGTTTTATATATTACCTTTTTGAAGTCATTAATTTAAACAAATGCTCTTAGTTATTCATGCACTTAATTAGCAATGTAAAAAAAACAATATTTTCAGTAAGATTGAACTGTTTCGGCGGTTGTACTCCAAAATTTCGATGACAGCTACAGTAATTATTTATTTTCAGTATAAAGCTTGTATTATGTTTTGAAATAAACAATGAATGTTTTAATAAACACTTTCTTGCTACAACTGTTTGCTGGCCAAAATAGAATTGGACTTCTGATGAATGAATATCCAGAAGTAAATCCCACAAAAGCATCCTTATTTTTTTCTTCTTGAAAGAGTAAAGGCACTGTAAATGTGTAATTCATTTTATTTATTCAACATTTCTTTAAAAATGTTCCCTAATTTGAAGATGGATTCATTTTAAAATGAAAAACTGTGACTAATTTTGATCATACTAAAGACAATATTATGCTCCAAATAGGTATGTGCAGCTACGCTTAAACAGCATAACCTTCACTTAGCTTCAATGTCATGTCAAAGGGCAACTTTTTCCAAGTCTCTCATGTCTCTAACAGCTGTAAAATGTTCAGCGGGCCCTCGGCTGCAGGTCTGCCGGCTCCGGATCAAGCAAACTGAGACGCTTTCTCCAGCAGGTCCACTCAAATGTTATTGTCCGGGGCCCTCTGCCCTCCTCAATCAGACATGCGTGATTTATCGCCTGGGCCACTGGGCCTGACAGCAAAACACAATGACACGCGCACTCTCTCTCTCACACACACACACACACACACACACACACATCAGAAGAAGATGAATCTCATTTCAAAGAGCTGCGTATAATTGGCCATGCAAGGACAAAATATAGGTATAATCCTGTAAAAAGAAAGTCATATCACGAAAAATAATTTCGGAATGTATTTTTGAAAATAATTAGGAGTATATAAGCAACGCTGCTTAAATGATTCAAAAACAGAGCTGGAGAGGGAAAGTGAACGAGGGAATAGAGGAGAGGCGAGGCGGAAGGGGGCTAGGCCTTGCCTTGAAATGGAGAGCCTGACTGGAATACTAATGCATCTGAATTTATGCATCTCCTCAGTCTGCAGCCCTGAGTGAGAGGGGGTTGGGGGAGACTGAAAGAAGGGGAAAGGGATGCGGGGAAAGGGTGTGAGGGTGGAGGTGAAAGGGGGGCGGTTATGTAGAAGAACAGAAAAGTAAAACCGTGGCTGATTGATTCCATCCATCTATTTTAGGTCTAAATAATCCCTGATTTCTGGAAAGGGGGGGGGGGGGGGCGGCGGCAGACAAGCAAAGCCAGCCAAGGTCCAGAGCAGCACTGCAGTATCCTTGAGCCGCCTCCACCTCACTCGTCCTGCTTAAACAGCCTTACCAGCACTTTTCCACATGTCTCTCAAAACCAAAGGCCTCGGAGTGAATGAGTGACTGTTGAACAATGATTGACTGGGGAAAATGTGCAAAGGGAGAGAGAGCAAGAGAGAGAGAGAGAAAAGGACTTTTCAGAAGTATTAAATATGAGCACGTTGTTTGTGTTTTGCTAATTGTGTTATTCCCCCCCGAGGCTTTTAAGAGAACGTATCTGAACAAGGTCAAAACGATGACTAAGACGCGGTTAACCGGCACGCAGGGGGTCAAACAGAGGACATTTTACGGGACATTGGTCTTTAATACGAGAGGCGGGAAAGCAGAGGGCTGCAGTCACACAGAGAACACAGACACAAACCCATGTAAGATTCCTACAGGGGGATAATAAATATCAGCTGGTTGACTGAAATGGCAGACACATCTCCACTTTTTTTCCCTATAGTCTGTGTTCCACAACAGACTTGTTACATTACATTACACGTCATTTAGCTGACGCTTTTATCCAAAGCGACTTACAATAAATAATAAATATTGTAAGGCTTTGCATGTATTCTTACACTTCTTTTGTCAGGCTGCTTTTGTTCTGATCCCTGTTGTGTTAGAACTTCTCAAAGACTTAAAGTAGTGATTTCTGAAACGTTTTGGTTTTTGATCCATCAACAGAATGTTGACATGTGACCTTGTGATGACTTGTACCAAATCATTTACATTTTCTTTTATTTTGTTTGACTAATGCTTAATACGCATCAAGACGCTTGACCGTGTCCAGAAATTCTCAAAGAAAAATAAAAGTAGAAAGGAACTTGTGCGTGGCAGAAATATGTTCTGATCCCGAATCACACAAACTGCACAATTAAACATTTATAAATCAAAAATTGCTCAAAATAATAACTAAAACATGTAGGCTATTTTTTATTCAAAACAATGGAAGTCAGAAAAGTTCTTTCTTTTGAAATGGATGCATTAAATGTGTTGTACAAATTATTGACAGAAGTAAATCAGGCACACGGGGCTTGAGATGCATCCAGGCAACGTGATCTCCAAAACCTGTTCGTAAAAATGTATACGAAAATATTGTTACAAATTCGTAACAATACATACGAACTGCGGGGGTTAACCACGCCCCTTGAGTGAACGTTTCTCCGCCATGTTGGATTTTTTGAGGGGGTTAGGGTTAGTATTCTATTCTTACAAGTTAACATTGATTTCTCATTATAAATGCAATCATAACACGTTTATTTTACATCGTTAGACGAAGTGTGTTTACGGGGTGCAGGTCCTCATTCACTTTGAATAGGGTGACGTTCTCAGTTGCAGTCCGTATTTATTTAGTATGTATTACTACGAATTTGTATCTTCAAGATTTTCGTATACATTTTTACGAACAGGTTTTGGAGATCAGGCTGATCCAGGACATCCCTGTTAAAGTGGGAGGTACCAGGGCCAAACCTTCCAACATGACTACATGGTTAAGACTTCCCAAGAAATATGTAACAAGCTTGCGTTTCAGAATGAATCAATTTGGGCATTTCCACACAACCAACTGAACACACGTTTTTTACACTTCACACTTCACACTTGTTGAAATAGGGGGGGGGGGGGGGGGGGGGGGCTCTTTTCCCACTTTGGGGCCTTTGTCCCTTTCAACCCCCCCCCCGGAACATGAAAAATCTTGTCGAGAACCCAAGTGCCCCCCAATGGAAGGGGGCCCAAACTGGAAACCGGTCCCTCGGGGGGAAAAAACCGCCTTAAAGGGCCCCCAATAACTGAAAACCGAGGAGAGAAGGGGTGGAGAAGGAGGGAGGTGTCGAAGACGAAGAATATGCAGTACGGCTGAACGCATAACCTCAAATCCATTTCACATCCTCAGTTACGGCATACGCTGACAGGGGCTGCGCAGCATCAGCCACAGTTATGAGGGTGGCGGTGGGAGTAAGAGAGATACACATCTATAGCCAAGAGGATCGCACTATGGAGTTGTATCATCAGAAAAAAGCAGGTTCTTTGTATCATCTTAACAGTGTCACCCCTTAACATCAGTGCAGGCTCTAAGAAACCTCCAGTTTTTTTATTAGCTTCAGTCCTTGGCAATTAATTGTAAAAAAAAAAAAAAAAAAAACGGGTGCCAGTAGAACAGCTGCCTCTGTGATCTCATTGTTCTTCTCTGGTGAGGCTGTGGCATTCATGTCTTTGCAATTACTCTGACAATTAAAACCATATTAAGGTTGAGCGGGATGATAGCTCCATTAACGAACATACCAACTACGTGTGACATCCACACTTGAAACTGCAGAACTTGAATGTCTGAGGTGCACACCCGCAGCCCGTTGGCCCCATTTGAGAAACCACCAGAGCCAGCTGTGTTGTTTGGAAAGGTAGCTCTCGCTGTCCAACTGGCATGACCGTTAAACACACACACACACACACAGAGACATCACAGCGGTGTATGGGAGAGGCTTGTTTATGACGCTGAGAGAGTAAATCACTGTGTCTGATATCTTCATTGGAGACAGAGGGCTGATCACTGCTCGTCCTGCTTGTTCCACATTAACTCATTATCACACACGCTCAGTCCATTAATTCTCTTGCTTTTATTAGCAGCAAGAGTGGAGACACACATGCACGCACACACACACACACTCACACACACACGCACACTGTGAGCCGGTGACGAGCACTTCCTCCACCTCATCTGACAGCTAATGGCTTCATTTGGAGCGGCGTATTAATTGACCGACTTTGGGGAGACGCTCTTTAATGAGGATAAATAGATTCACACCTGAGCGGGGCGCTACCCAGCCACAGCGGCGCTGAACTCCGGATGGAGAATGAGCTTGGACTGCGTGGATGGCTGCCCCCCCCCCCTCCCCCCTCCCCCCATCCGCTTTCTTTTTTTATTGTTGAGGAGTATGAGTAGACTTGATGGACCCCAGTCCCCTCCCTAGCAGCCTGAACACAGTTGTATATTCCTTGCCAGGTGGACTTATTAACCGAGTGGTTGATTAGCACCAGGAGGCCAAAACAAAGAGCAGCATGTCAAAACAATTAGCCCCACTGTTTACCTCTCAGCCTCCCACATGACTGCTAAATGCATCTAATCCAGGAGAGAGAGAGAGAGAGAGAGGACATGGAGTCGGCTCAGACAGTTGCAGAATAAAATGACAGCTGGTCCATAGGCCTCTGTGCTTGTGTTGGTGTGTGTGTGTGTGTGTGTGTGTGTGCGTTTCAGAGCTGTCATGACCAGACAGCAGATCTAGGCAGGAGAGCAGATGGATTGAGGCAAGGACTGCTCCCATCAATGCATGCGCACAGACACACACATACAGCGTTCTCTTCACACACCTCTGGTTGGAGGGGGGGTCATAGTCCCAGGAGAGCAGAGGGGGGTGAACAGACAAAATGGTAGCAGGCGAGACGGATCATTTACATAAGGGTAGGACACGGAGACCCACTGAGGGACGCTGGGCTCAGCGGCCACGTTGGTGTCCCGTGGACTGGACTGTGTTACCACCTAGTGGCGAAAGACGCAGTCTACAACTCCTTTGGGTTCATTTGTTGGACACAGAAGGGGAAGGAAGCTGCTTGGGAGGTGGACATCAGGGCATTAAAGAAGTTGATGGCAAAGGCCGAAGATAAAAAGGGATGGTGTCACTAATTATCCACACATAATTCCCTTTTGTTGTAAATTTTACATTCCTGGTACGATGAGCTTATTCTTCTAAATCAATAGCAAAACCGAATGGACAATCTTTATGCCCTGGTATTAAAGTAATGTGCAGAATTTAATTATATCCCAGAGAAATATTTGCACTCCGGATTCATTTCATTCAACCCCTTTGTGTGTGTGTGTGTGTGTGTGTGTG